ACTCTTATTTTTTGGCGTATTTATCCCATTCTGATTCCTAAAGGCTCCCAATGACAACTAGAGATGTTTAGATCTTCATATCCCAAGGTAAAGAGTAGGGATGTAACGATTAACTGCCAGCCGGTTGAAAATCTATTTAAATATGTGACGATTCAAATCGGTTGAGATGCTAAACAAATCGCGATTCAGTTAGGGGTAGGCGTTTATATAAATGTATGTCTGAGGGGAACTTACTTTCTTTCGATTGTATTTTTTCTTTTCCTCTTGCCTCTGTATAAAGCATATTGCTGTTCATAAGCGCAGCAGCTGCTTTGTTTACAGCGGTAACCAAGGAAACACTGTATCATTGCTGTTCATAAGCGCAGCAGCTGCTTTGTTTACAGCGGTAACCAAGGAAACACTGTATCATTGCTGTTCATAAGTGCAGCAGCTGCTTTGTTTACAGCGGTAACCAAGGAAACACTGTATCATTGCTGTTCATAAGTGCAGCAGCTGCTTTGTTTACAGCGGTAACCAAGGAAACACTGTATCATTGCTGTTCATAAGTGCAGCAGCTGCTTTGTTTACAGCGGTAACCAAGGAAACACTGTATCATTGCTGTTCATAAGTGCAGCAGCTGCTTTGTTTACAGCGGTAACCAAGGAAACACTGTATCATTGCTGTTCATAAGTGCAGCAGCTGCTTTGTTTACAGCGGTAACCAAGGAAACACTGTATCATTGCTGTTCATAAGCGCAGCAGCTGCTTTGTTTACAGCGGTAACCAAGGAAACACTGTATCATTGCTGTTCATAAGTGCAGCAGCTGCTTTGTTTACAGCGGTAACCAAGGAAACGCTTTAACAAAACTGAAGTCAAACCATTCTATTTTTTATTCAAATTTCGAAATGATACAATCTAATTTAGATTAAAAACTGCTCGTGTTGCATGCAGTGTTGGGGGTAACGCATTACAAGTAACGCAAGTTACTTTTTTTTCCCCAATTTATTGATTGACAGCTCTGCTGTCCCCATGCTGAGAGAAATCAGAAGATGTTACTGTAGTTTTAAAATAAATATGAATATGCATTAATTCATCTCACTCACAAAAAACAACAACACAGATTCAGTATTCCTCAAAATGAATACAAATAATGCAACTCAGAATATGACACAAACCTGCAATAATTAAATGTTAAACAACACAAATGTTCTTTATATATTTAATCCCATTCTATTAACCAATGTCTTTGCTTCTGACCGTCGATGATCCAGTGTAACCGTACTAATAAGCAGAAATTACTCTAGACAAACATTTGTGTGTCTTTGTTTATTGCTGAAGTGTGTTGAAATGTCTTCTTCTGCGTTCTACTGTACAGATGTACATTTACTTTCACTTCAGCCTGAGGCTTATTCATTTCACCTTTGGTGTGAAAAGGCTTTTATATTTGCCAAAAATATAACTTTTTTTTTATTTTAAAAACAAACAAGCGAGCCCTGTCCAGATTTTAAAAGTAGCGCAAAAGTAACGTAACGCATTACTTTCCATAAAAAGTAACTAAGTAACGTAATTAGTTACTTTTTCATGGAGTAACGCAATATTGTAATGCATTACTTTTAAAAGTAACTTTCCCGAACACTGGTTGCATGTACGCAGCATCTTTGTTTGGATCGTGATTAAAATGCAGTGGGTGCCTCTAATTTTAAATGGAAAGAGCACAGACAAGCCTTAGTTTGTTGGGGCTTGTTTTAAAATAAAAAAAAAAATAACTTTTGTTATTTACATTTACATTTAGTCATTTAGCAAATGCTTTTAAACAAAGTGACTAACAAATGAGGAGAATAGAAGCAATCAAAACCAACAAAAGAGCAATCATTTACAAGTGCTATATTAGTATTATTATAGCGTTATATTTCAATTTCACAAATAAACGTACAGTATTTTGTCCAAGCAATAATAAAAGGACACATTTAATTTATAATTTGTCTTAAATCTCATTTTGTAAAAAAAAAAAATTGTGAATCGAATCGAATCGTGAGTTGAGGGAATCGTTACATCCCTAGTAAAAAGATGTTGAGGGTTTTATTTGCACCAACATGTGGCTGCTTAAAGGGTTAGTTCACCCAAAGATGAAAATTCTGTCATTAATTACTGACCCTCGTGTCGTTCCAAACCCGTAAGACCTTCGTTCATCTTCAGAACACAAACTAAGATATTTCTGATGAAATCCGAGAGCTCTCTGACCCTCCATAGACAGCAACACAACTGAAATGTTTCCAGGTCCACAAACGTAGTAAGGACATCGGTATAATAGTCCATGTGACATCACGGGTTCAACCACAATTTTGCAAAGCTACAAGAATACTTTTTGTGCACGAAGAAAATAAAAATAATTACTTTATTAAACAATTGTGGAGAGTATTACGACCTATGCGCTTGCTTCCGCTTCATGTAAACAGAGCTTTCGGATTTCATTAAAAATACCTCAATTTGTGTTCCGAAGATGAACGAAGGTCGGGTTTGGAACGACGTGAGGGTGAGTAATTAATGACACAATTTTCATTTTTAGGTGAAATATCCCTTTAAAACTAGAGCTGTAACACGTTTAACATGTTAATTTGGAAAGAGTAATGTGTTAAAATGATTAAGGCATTTAAGGCACTGCCCTGTCAATGATTCGTTACTGAATGAATCCACGGTTTTGACCGAATCAAGTAAATCAATGACTTAAAGACTCGTTTCTAAACATAGTCACTGGCTGAAGTGAACTGCTGTTTTTGTCATTCCTCTGAAGAAGATTTCATTTATTTGTTTTGGCAATGCACCTATACAGAAAATTTTGGTCCGATTTTTTTATGTTTATTCAATCTTATTTTGAAAGTGACTTTTCTTTTTGTTTTAAAGATGCTTTCTTTGGATTATTTGAATACTCAAAAGAGAATATAGGGAAATATTACATTGTTAATTTGTGTTTGTTGTTGGCTAAATTTCACATTCACATTGAACAAACTGAGTGAGCCAATGATTCAGTGACTCATTCATAATAACAGTCACTTGCTTTGTTTCTGAATGAATCAGTTCTTTAAACGAACAAATCAAGTGAGCTAATGATTCAGTGACTCATTCATAAATACACTCACTTGCTTCATTTCTGATTAAATCAAGTGTTTGAATGAATTGAGTGAGCAATTGATTCAGTGACTCATTCATAAATAGAGTCACTTGCTTCATTTCTGAATAAATCAAGTGTTTGAATGAATCGAGTGAGCAAATGATTCAGTGACTCATTCATAAAGACAGTGACTCGCTGCCTCCTAATGGCATTTTTTTGGTTACATATTTAGAGAATCATTTCATATTTCAACATATTTCATCATATTTAATGTTTTTTTTTTTTAAACATTAATACCCATTTTATTATCTTTATTTAAGGCTTAGTTTCTAAATGAATCAGCCGTTTGAATGAATCGAGTGAGCCAATGATTCAGTGACTCATTCATAAAGACAGTCACTGGCTTAGTTTCTAAATGAATCAGCCGTTTGAATGAATCGAGTGAGCCAATGATTCAGTGACTCATTCATAAAGACAGTCACTGGCTTAGTTTCTAAATGAATCAGCCGTTTGAATGAATCGAGTGAGCCAATGATTCAGTGACTCATTCATAAAGACAGTAACTGGCTTAGTTTCTAAATGAATCAGCCGTTTGAATGAATCGAGTGAGCCAATGATTCAGTGACTCATTCATAAAGACAGTCACTGGCTTAGTTTCTAAATGAATCAGCCATTTGAATGAATCGAGTGAGCCAATGATTCAGTGACTCATTCATAAAGATGTTTACATTTGAGTAAAAAGTTTTTTGGGGTCAAAAAGGCAAAGTGCAAACCATGCTAATCATCACAAAAGCATCAACTGTCTGCATTTATACATCTATAATTTTTTACTGAGTGAAAAGTGTTTCAAAATGTTTTTTTCAGTGCACATTAAAAGCCCATGGTCGTGACCTTTAATTCTTTTTCTATATCATGATGGACAGATTGATGTTACGAGCAGAAGAATAAATGCATTTATGAGTGAAGACGGATTATATTTGTGTAAAAATGGAAATACAGTCAGAGCGCTTCGGACGCACACTGAGCAGATTTATCCTGAAATATATACAGTATATATATATTTACATTAAGAAATACATAGAGTTGATTAGATTTTGAGTTGGCTCTGGACAGGGTTATTATAGTTAATTAAAACAAACAAACAAAAAATAAACATTAACTGAAATAATATATAATATATAAAAGTACCTTTTACCATTAACTTGCTGTGTTAAAAACTGAAAACTGCATTGAAACTGAAATAAAAAATTAATAAAAACTATGTTCTGGATTTTTTTTTCTCATTTTGTCTCTCATAGTTGAGGTATACCTATGATGAAAATTACAGGCCTCTCTCATCTTTTTAAGTGGGAGAACTTGCACAATTGGTGGCTGACTAAATACTTTTTTGCCCCACTGTATATTAAAAAAAAGACAGAAATACAACAAAATTTCTCAAACTTAAAAATTTAAATAAAAAAATATTTTAAAACTAATTAAAAGTGCAATAGTATCTCAATGATACTAAAATGACACTGACAATCCTTTTCAACTTTCATTTTAATGTGCTAAAGGCATAATATTTTTATATTAGTAATGCCTCCCTAAAATTAAATAAAATAAAATTACACTTTGATTTAAAAAAAGCTTATTTTTAGTACCATCAAGAACTGTAATCAATTTTAGTACTATTTTGGTTTGAATCATCTTAAAGGCATTACAAAAAAAAACTACAGTGATGTAAAAAAAAATATTATTTAATAATAATTATTATAAAAATAAAAATAAGTGTAAATACATAAGATTCATTTAGGCTTAATTTTCTCTGAGCAAAATATTTCTTCTTATTTTATATAATATTTCTTATTTTTTTAATTGGTTCTGATGTGACGTGTTTTGAGATTTTATAAGCGAAGAGTATGTTGCGTTACTCACTTTCATCCGAAGCCTGTGGACCTTCCAGTGTACGGATGTAGTCATCCTGATGAGAAACACCAGAGAGAAATCATTATATAATCACATGCGTGACGTAAAATAAAACACTCAAAGAGATATTTTATCCTGATCTAGACCAAATAGTTCAAATGTTGCTTTGTTATACACAATATTTACTCAAAATTCTGTTAAAATTGTAAACCAGAGGATTATAGATGTTTGATTAGTGTTATTGGTTTGAACATATACTGCTGTTGAATGGCAGTAAACCAGATTGTTAATGAGTCGGGCCCCTGAGGGCCTCCGGAGAAACACAGACATCACACAGAAACAAACCTCCACTTCCTTCAGCAGCGCGAGGCCGGCGGAAAGCAGGAATGAAGAGAGAGAGAGAAAATTAAATGTTAACTTAGAAACACATGAAAGAGGACAGCTCCGCACTTTGCTTTAATTGTCATCTATTAATATGATCTGGGTGAATATGAGCCGAGGGATTTAAGGACTGCCAGAGCCATTTATAGTGTTTAGCTTTTTGGCCATAAATGAAATTGAAAAGATAATATACGTTCTCAGTCCCGCTGTAGATGCTCAGGGTTTTTCTCATTCTTTAAAAAACAGAGAACGTGTCTTCAGACACAAAGAGACTGACAGCAGCTCAGCTTCTCATTATAATGTTGTCGAGCTCCTGGAGCGAATCCGACTGGGAAGCTCAGCTGAAATTTAGTTCCAATGAAATTTGCATGCTTCACGCTTCACATGCATACTAAACCACATCCACATTCTGCCAACACAATCAATCTGTGATTCTGTAGCGCTTAGGAGCCGCACTGTTCAATTAGATGCAGACAAAGCCCTGGAGAATGAACATAACGCAAAACAAACCAAAAACAGACAGATTGACACTAGTGCTCGATCAATATGTGGTTTGCAATGGCCGCTGCCAATACTGATGTCCAGAGATCACAAAACGTCCAAACATCTGCTGAGTAATCGACCAGGTTGAGTTGCTGCTGGTAGATGCTAAAACTACATCATTATGTGAGTAAAAAGCTACTTTTTGTTTCATTAACAGCCATTCAAAAATGCATAAGTTTATTCTGGCCAAAATAATTTTTTGCAAGCAACATATTATATTTTATAATATTATAGTAGATATGGAATAGACATTCATATATACAGTATATATATATATATATATATATATATATACACACAGACACACACAGTAATATATATATATATATACACACACACATAATGTATATACTGTGTATATATATATATATATACACACACACACACACACACACACAATCATACAATCAAATATGAAAATTGTCATTATTTACTCATTATTATATGTTATTTGGATTACACAGTTTTAACATAAATAAACTAATAAGCTTAAAGTGATGCATGATCAATGAAAAGACATTTGTCATTGATTTTATTTAAATAATGTTATTTTCAAAATGCAATGTATTTTACTTGTTTAGAATCAGCACAAATCTGTTCAATAAATATATATTTTTATAAATATGTTTTAAAAAATGAACATGCTTAAAATATGTCTAGCTGTTAACAAACGATATTCAATTAAAATAAAATTATATTGAAACAAACTGGATTGATTTGATGATAAACATATAAACCTGATTAGTGTGAATTTTAACCACATTCAGTTTATTAGTGCTATTACAGAAATCTATTACAATATGCATGAAAAATATGCATGTTTATTATTGTGTTTGGGTTAAAACTGTGTAATCCAAATAGATGGAAGCATAATATTCAATGCAACTACATACATCTAAATATTTGTTGTTTTTCAGAGTCCCAAGCAGAGGGTTTGAAACTTAAAAAACGGAATGATCTGTTTAAATGGGTGGGATTTCCTCGTTGATGATCACTTTTGTTGTGGTTTCATTCCCAGAGAAAATCATATTTTCATCGCAGCTTTTGCGTGATTAGCTCTGCGCTCTGCTCCGACATTAAGTGAGTCTAACACAGACAGCATCCTAAATCAATTACAACCTCAGAAGTCAATAATTAATTTGTGAAACACTAATAAGAATTATATATATCAGTATTTAATAAACTACTTTGTAAGAACTTCCTCCACTTTTATAGAGCATTTTGCAATGCACTACAATTTACATCAGTGTTATTTTAGTATTACCGAGACGCTATTATAGCTTGTATTCATATTTTGAATCACTTTTTATTTTCCATTTTCATTTCAATTTTAGTTATTTTTTGTGTGTCATTGTCATTTTCAGTAGTTTTTTGTCTATATAGCTTTTATAATTTTTTATTTCAATTTTAGTTATTTTAGTACATCCAGTTCAACTAAATTAAAATGAGATACTGCCCTGGCAAAATATTTTTTTTCAGTTAAGATTTATCATTTATTTTGAGTAATGAAAATGTTTTCATTTTAGATTAGAATTTTATTTTTTAATTTGTTAATTTTAGGTTTAATTTTTTATTAGTATTTTATTTTAGGTTTTAATTTCAGTTTTAGTTAACCATAATAACCCTGTTTTACATTTATGCATTTGGCAGATGCTTTTATCCAAAATTAATTTTATTGCATGCATTCCCTGGGAATTGAACCCACGGCCTTGGTGTTGCAAGCACCATGATCTACTGCTTGAGCTACAGGAATGCAATGAGTTTGGCCAAATTCTAAAGCAACATCACAGGCATGCTTGTGCATAGTAATGCACTTTAACAAAAAGTTGAAAATAATCTTTTGGAACAGCCTCAGTGTCCTGACATGCTTTAAAATGCTGTCTATATAGGGTGGCACACTGTGTTTTAGAACAGAGTATAAGTGTGCATTGCATCCCTTTCTCAAACACTGTCACAACTGCCACTGCAGAGTTTTTCACTCACTTTCCCCATCTCTATTTTCTTTCTCTATGCGCTCTCGCCCATTTACTGACAGACACGGCCAGAGAAATAAAAGACCTGCCGCCGCATCCTGTCAGAAATGCATTAAGGCTCTTCCCAAACTGCGGTTTCATATCAGTCCAGCCATACGAGCACCATGAAACTGGACATTTTCTTCAGTCGAGCGCGTGCTTGACTCCTCCCGGGCAGAATCCATACAACCTCCAGCCTGCAGCTCTTATCATGTGGCCAGAATAAATCGACATCACAGTCTGAAGCTGCCAGCTGCACATTTAGATTCACTCCACAGGAACAAGAGACTAGAAAACCAACTACAGTCACTGTGCAGAAGATCCTGCTGATGTACTGCAGATCATCATCACCATTCACATACAGTCTGAACCAGGAATAATCAGTTAGCAAGAGCAACTATGACATTTCACTACATTCACAGGATGGATTTTTCCCTGGCTCCCACTTACTGTATAATGTTTGTCAGGGTTTCAAGCCCCAAAAACACGAATCTTCACATTTTACACAAAATAGGATTAAAATGCAAAAATGCAAAGATCAAAACTACACGCCACTCACAGAACTAAACATAATCATGTAATCAGGCAATCATACGACATACAAATCTATATACAAAGTTGTTCTGCCACGTTAACCCAAAAATCTAAACAGAAAAAAATAAATGTAAAAAAATTGATATTAGTGCTGTCAATCGATTTAAAAAAAAAAATTTAATCGCATTCTTCTTAAATTAATCGCGATTAATCCCACCTAGAAAATCATTTATATTGCATTAACTTTTAAATACACTTTCATATCGCAATAGCTTCGCATTCAATCTTCAAATTAATGTACAAACATAAAGACAGTATATTAATGGCATCTCGCTATACCATATCACTGATACCTATACTACTGATGTCTCTATGAAATTGTAATATTTAACCATTGACTTTAGCCATTCAACGTTACAGTATAACTGAGAGCTATTAATTGGAACATTTATTAGACTTTAAAAAATAACAACTTCTAATTAATGTTACACTGTCAGATATGCAAAAGAAATGTATCGTATCTCTTGCTCTGGTTACTGTGTGTAGACGGCTGTGTATGATAAAGTTTACCCTCTTCAACTTAATGCTGTTGAACTGAATTTACGGAGAAAACCATTTGCTAAAATGACCACAACATTAACTGCAACGCTAAAATACAAGCGTGTGGTAATGTTATTCAGACGCACATGAAAGTTGCATGTGTTACTATAACAAACACTGTGTGTTTTCTTTCAGAATCATCATTGGCGTTTAGAAAGACAAAAATAGGTTACATAAAAGTTTTTTTACCTACAGTAAAAATGAAGATAAGGTGTGAATAATTACATTTTAGACACATTGTCAGTAATTTCGCCAAGAAAAATAAGGAGAACTGTTGTGCGTCTCTGATCAACACACAGAATCCAAGTTTTTAAACGAATCGACTGAATCAATGATTCAGTGAGCCATACATAAAGGCAATCACTTGCTTCGTTTCTGAATGAATCAGCCGTTTGAACGAATCGATTGAATGAATGACTGAATCATTCACTTATTAAGACAGGGATTTGTCTCCACCTACTGGTGCTTTTAGTTTTATATTTAGAGTATGCGTGGAAAAGCAGTATGTCCAGCTATAGACAGGCTCTAAAAGCCGCCAGGGCCGAGCATATCCACAAACTCATAGAAAATAACCAAAACAATCCTAGGTTTTTATTTAGCACAGTGGCTAGATTAACAAATAACCAGACACCACCCGATCTAAATATTCCCTCACAGTTTAATAGTAATGGAGAGCGAAGGTGCGAGCAGCAAAAATGACGCGAATATTGAGGAAACGATGGATGGTTTTCAAGCTAAAGCAAAGTAAGAGACCACTTCTTAAACCAGAGAAGGTGAACATTTTGGTATTCTTGTGGGGAAAAACATGCAAGCGCCGTCACCGACAGCAAGTTTAGTTTTACTTTTCTTTTTGTTTTCATTTTGAAAAGCTTATCTTTGCTGTTTACCTCACATTATGCTATGGAGGCTCTCTTTTATTATTATATAAAACAGCATGTGGCGTATGCCATGCCTCGTCTTATTTTTTTTTGTTAATAAACATTTTGTAAGCTAGTTTGTCATTGTATCTTACGGTTTTATTGTTGTTGTGCTTTTTAATTAAGAATAACAATGAATCCATCTTTTGTTTCAGTCTTAAAAAGTGAAAGGTGTGTAGATGTAGCTATGTAAGCAAAACAGACAATTATCTTTTCTTGTAAAACGTGACAACAAGATCACAAATGTAATATTCAATGCATTTAGAAGACACTTTTATCCAAAGCGACTTACAAATGAGGACAATGGACGCAATCAAAATGAACAAGAGAGCAATGATTGCAAGTGCTAAGACAAGTCTCAGTTAGC